GCATGAAATGGGCTTCAAATTGCTCCCGCATGTACCATATTCGTCAGGTTTGGCTCCCAGCGACTATTGGCTGTTCACAGACCTCAAATGGTAAGAAATGTCGCTCGAATGAAGAGTTTATTACTGGAACTGAGGCCGTCTTGAGGCTAAAGATAAATCGTTTTACAAAATTGCTATTGAAATGTTAGAACGGCGCTGGAATAATTGTGTGACTCTTGATGGAAAATACTTTGATGGACAAAGCCAATTTCGAACAAAAAAACATGTTTTTTCTAAGGCCCGGGACTTTTCAGCCTAGGTGTTATTTATTTATCCAAATTCTTCCTTTTTTACCAGATTCAATAATTTATCTAATGAGTTTCGTCATTACCGGCAGACACTGTAGAATAGTTTCAAGTACCAGTAACTGCGTTTTATCAAAATCAATTCTCGGATCTGATAAAAACTGTCAAATCTAAATAAAAGCAGAATATAGTCAATTTACAAACTTATCTGAAAATAATATTTTATCTGACAGGACGACTTTCTGGTCTTTCATACACAGTTGAAAATGTCATTCACGTATATCGGGTATAATGAAAATTGGTGATAAGGTATTTGATAAGCCTGGGGATATTGTCAGTGGACTCGCCAAGTATTTCAGAAGTGTATACCTGGTTTGGACGAGAATATGCTTCGTGAAAATTCTCATGATTCTGATTTAGATACATTGAACATCCCTGCCTTCTCTAAAATCGATATTGCTTCAAAAAAATTAAGAAATAAACTCACCGCAGGCCGATATGAAAAAAGGCGACTCTAGCGATATCACAAACTACAGGGCTATTTCAATTTTATGTAACTTTTCAAAACTCTTCGAGATATGTGTGCAAAATGTTATGTACTCCCATTTTCAAAAATTTATTTCTCCTACTTAGCATGATTTCCTACAACAAAGATCATGTATGATAAATTTCGCATGTTTGAATAAATATCTCTGTACGTACCTGGACAAGCAAAAACAAGTCGATGCTGTTCATTTAGACTTTCAAAAAGCCTTCGATCAAATAGAGCATTATGTTCTCCTCAGCTAATTGACAAAATTGGAACTCTCTAACCAACTGCTTACTCTAATTGAATCATATCTAGTTAACAGAAAATAATTCGTCGAATATGAATCGTAGTTACATCTGAGGTACCACAAGGTTCTAATCTTGGACCTCTTTTATTTTTAATTTTCATTAATGACTTGGCAACCTCTTTGAATATTCCTAGCCTACTATTTGCAGACGACCTGAAACTATATTATAAAATCGACGACATTACTGACTGTCTACGTGTACAACATGATTTAGATGTAATCAAACTTTGCTGTAATGATAATCGTCTTCAACTGAACGTATTCAAATGTAAAATAATATCATTTATAACAAAAAAGCGAACTTTAAGGTACGATTATGTACGATTATTCAATCAGCAATACTACAATCAACCGCGTACATGAGATAAAAGATCTGGGTATAACTTACGACAGTAAATTAAAATTTACAACACATATAAGGAATATGACTGCTGATGGACGAAGCCAATTTCGAACAAAAAACATGTTTTTTCTTAGGCCCGGGACTTTTCAGCCTAGGTGTTATTTATTTATCCAAATTTTTCTTTGCGTATGCCAGATCTAAGTTAGAGTATGGTTCTGTGTTATGGAATCCAATTTACGACTACCAAAAAACATCAATTGAGAGCGTGCAAAGGGAGTTCCTAAAATACTAAAGGTCGACACAATCTGAAATTCTATTGCGAAGCATCACGCACAAATGTTATGCTACGATCACCATTAAATTTTATGTGCAGTAGCTTCAATAAAATCTGTGAACATTGCGATATTCATTTCGACCCTCTGAATGCCTTGGCATCTTGTATCCACAATCACTTTTAATAATACTATGAATAACATTTGTGTCAGTACTGCTACATTGCAGGATTTGTAATGTTTTGTGTTATGTACTCAATTTTTCATTCCTCTTTTGAAATTCTGCTTATACGAATATTTCATATATACTTTGTTTTATCATTCACTTTTATACATTTCTATATTCCATCATTTTTAATATTTATTCCATATATACTTTGTAATAATAGCATTTCCTGTAACTGGGTACTCCTGTTGGAAATATATCCTTTTTTTTTTAACTGATGGAGCAACGGTGTTGTTTAACGTGTTTCAAATGGAAGGTATTTAAGAAATTCTATAATTATTAGGTTGCACAATTTCATCGTATTAAGCGACATTTGAATCAGTACACTTTTGCCAACCTAACACAAACCGATTGATTCCGTTAGTATAAAAATTGTGTGCTCAGGATTCGATGACGTCAACGAAGGCCATTTTTCTCTGGTCCAGATTTGCGAAGATTCTATCGTTGCTGAAATCATCGAGTTTTTTGAAGAGATGGTAGTCGATTGGCTAGAGGTCTGGGGAGTATGATGGGTGAAACAGAATTTCGACGGTCAATTTGTTCAATTTTCTGACGATTATTTATGAAACGTGCAGACAGGCGGTGTCGTGGCTACTGTTGACGCAATCTATGGTACATTTCATCGATCTCCTCACAATAGGAATCTACTGTGATCGCTTAGCCATTTTAAAAATGAATAAAAATGCACAAAATAGAATTTCAGTGTGGCTATCACCGAAATTAACATTTATATCGAAACCATCTGGATGAATATCAAGGTTCCATTTGCATTCGTTACTGCTTCATAAAATGCATAACACCCTCCTGTCAACTGCATTTATTTCATGTCACTTCTCCATGAATGTTTTATTTCCACTCATCGAAATCGTTTTTGTCCATTTCTCGTCAACCAGGCCGCATCTGAAGTTCCATTAAACTAGAATAATGAGTTAGAGTGAACTTCTCTGACAGTTTGTTCCACTGGACATTATTCGTTATCTTACAACAATGAACGTCCATTACGTTGAAGTCTTTAGGAGATTACGAGCCAGCAGACTGCGAGCTTGTTTAACTTCGGGATTCATCCAGAGAAAGTTGCTGTGTGTGCATAGTTCTGGAAGATTGAGTTTAGAGTTTGCTCTTACCGAGATTTAACGTGACCGCATTTTTGTACAGTTGAACGTTGGGTTTTGTTTTTGAAGCTTTGTAGAGTTTCTGGAAAATATTCTAGATTTTTTTTATTAATTTTTGCTCCATCGTTATAATTTTTGGTATAGTCGACGTGAATGATATTGTTCACTCTTAAAATTGGCGGTACTCTCAATTGGCGGTTCGTATTGGATAATTATTACTAACCGAGTTTTATGATTAGCTGAAGAGTCATAAAATCAAATTTGAAGTCATGTTACGGTGACGAATAGAAATCGATGAATGCGGGGATGGTTATCGCCGTCAATTTTACAAAGATTGTAAAGAATAAGCAAAACAATACTGGAAAGACTAGTAAAACCGGTCGTATAAATAAAATCTACCACTGGTAGCTTTTATTTATACGACCGGTTTCGGGTTTGACCCCAGTATCAAGTATACATTTTTTTACTAGATTAGACAAAAGTGTTTCATTTGATTTAAGTGATCGATGATTCTGAAAATCCCATCACTTGCGAACACATTTCCACTAGATCATCAACGGTATACGAAGGATTTTGGTATATGAGAGCGTCATATGAATTGAGAATAATATTACTTACGTTAACGGAAAAAACAGATTTGTTATTCGTTTTACTGGAGAGAAAACTGAAGTAGTCACTTTATTCCACACACAGCGGCTCTACTAAACTTTGAAAACCTGATTCGGTCTGCAACAGGGCAGACACAAAGTATGTGCTTTGCTTTCCCATCATTTTTCAAACAGAGGCGACACATACTGCCTTCCGACAGTCCAAGTCTCTGCATATGATGATTCAAATGACAGTGTAAGAAGACTATAAGAAGGCCTGTTAGACATCCTAGTTCATCCCTACTGTAGTCCAACGACTGTTTGGTATCAAGCTTCGAAGGGTGAATAAACGCCTTGGAGTGAGCCAATCCTGAAAGATTCTGCCAGAAGTTCATAAATCTTTTTGCCATCCAGGTGTTCAATGTTTGTTTGGCAAAACTTAATGCGATACCAATGACAGGTTCTGGTCCGATTAAACTACTTGCTTCACAAACTACCTATAATTTACTAATACCAACACTGATTAAGATGCAAAGGCAATTCATATTCTTCAGGTACCTTCAGTACCTGGATGAAGGACTATTAGATCGAATCGAATCACTGAAAATTGAAAAATATCTCAGGTATGCCTGATTAAATCAAGTACGCAATGTAGGTATGTGCTTTTTATATTTTATGGTATTGAAAATTTCAGTTTTATTGTTTAATTGAAAAAACTAATGATTGATAATGTAAGTGGACCATATTTTTGTTACTCACCATACTCACAAAACTATAAACAGTCTTTTGAGATTTTTTGTGGCAAATCGTACAGCAACACTGACATTTTTCACTTCGTAACCGACTTATTTATGAACCCCTATGGAAAGGCAGAGAAACAGAAGAGAAGGATATATTAAGAGCAGATAGTTGTTGGTTCACAGATGGATCAAAAACACCTTCCGGTTCTGGTGCAGGTGTTTTCAGTCGCAGACCCAGGACAGAGACATCAACGTGCCTAGGAACGTTTGCGATTGTATTTCAAGCGGAAATTTACGGTACTGAATTGTGTGACCCTCCACCGGGTTGCGGTGGAGGGTCAAATAGACCCACTCATTTTGGACCTAACCAAACCTATGGAAAAGCAACTTGAAAATCATGTATTACTGCTAGAGGAACTGGACCACAGTAATTGTATATCTAATGAACTGATTGTCTTTCAGTCCTGCTGACTTCTCAGAAACAATGTTCAATGATTGTGTAACTGTATATTTTTCACTGGGGTCCTAAATGCCAAATATAGACAACAGCTGATATAGTGTACTATCACCAAATTCACCACTGAATTCATTTTTTTCCAGATACACTCAGCCATTCAGCAGCCCGGTTTCGTAAGGGTGAAGCGAGGCTACAAACCACTGAAAGTTGAGAACCTGGTCAAGGTCATGCACCCACACAACGATCCCACAGACCCTTACTTCACATTCCAGTGGTACCTGAAAAACACGGGCCAAAACGGGGGGAAGGCCAAACTGGACCTGAACGTAGAAGCAGCTTGGGCCCAAGGGGTTACCGGAAAAAATATAACAACAGCCATAATGGACGATGGTATGTATTTTTACTTCCAACCGACATTTGCAATTTGACCGGCATACATTGTTCAGCGATTGATTATGTTATTTGGGCTCTTTATGGAGGGTATGAGTTTCATTTGTTTTGAACATATCGAACTTTGTGAACGTATATTACAGGAGTTCAAACCCAACACCAAACCGTTATTTTCAACACCTCACATGTGTTTCGATCACCAAGTGATCATCTTCAAGAGGAAGATTGAACTGCATTTACAGGCCGTTTCTTTTATCGTGTGGTAACATTGCTATATTCTAAACCGTAACAGATACGAAGACGATTAAATGGGAAAAAAGTTAACTGTCATTGGGAATAATACAATGGTCAAAGAAAATTTACGGGGACCCTCGCTCTTCTCGATTCTTACGGGAAAAACCAAAAATGATGTTTTTCGTTTTTTTTTTCGAGTGGAATTGTTATTTCGGAGAATATCAAAAAATGAAAGAAATGTATTCGAAGTGTACTATGAGGATGTGATAATAAATACTCGATAAACCGTTTCGTGTCAACATGACCACCATCAACTTTTTTTTCAAATGCGGACCTGTCTGTTTTATTACAGATATTGATGAAGCGATAAATTCACAATACTAGGATATATCACATTTGATATTTTTATAGCGTTTCATTCACATATTATTTTTTACAAATATTTCCAACTTTCCTATTTCTTCATCTTAACCACTTCGCAAATCGTACTCTCCTTCCGAAATCCCTGTAGCATTTATATTTGTTCTTTTTAAAAATAGTTCTGGTGGATTTTACAGAAATACCCTTTTCGTGGGCAATTTCTCGTGGAGAACATTCTTGATTATTATAATTTTTGTAACTGGCCAATCTTAAATAAAAAAAGAAGATTTCACTGTGTACATTTTTATGTGGTAATATTTGCTCAACCATTACATTTATTTGATTCCTCACACTTCCAGTAACCACATATTTTCTTGTTTTCTTTCTGTCAAATGCACCATAGTCCCTCAAATTTCTTTCTAATCGTCTAAAAATTTGGATGCTCGGAATACGACGATTCGGGTATAGCTCAACATTCATTTTCCTTGCCAAAAGATATATTTGCAGCCTTGAAAGTCTGAAACATTCAAAGAGGAATATGTACCTTATCATAGCTTTGAAAATAAATTGAGTACCACACTGAATGCACTTTAAAAAATCTTCTGAATGAAAAACGACACTCTTGTGGAATAAACATTTCGTGACTACTTTTCCAAATGAATTCGATCCACAACGAATTACAACCGAAGTAAGTTGCCACTTAGAAATCACACGTTAAAAGGTAAGACCTCGTTAGTCCTTAGCTCGCACAAGTTTCTCAACTTCTGAGAGTTGTCGTTCGTATGGGAACGGCAGCTGATTAACGGAAAAAACAGACAGACAGACAGAACTTCAGCTCTCAAACTCCATGAAATTGTTTCCGATTTCAAGATATTATAAATCGATTAATATTCAAAGTAATTCATGGAAGTTCTCTCTCTTTTTTTGAATCGCCATGTGTATTAATGAATGAATGAGGAAATGGCTATTTATGATATGAGTGTTGAAAGTAAGGATTTATTTTTTGAGTGAAAAAACTTGTGAAACGAGCGTAGCGAGTTGAGCAGTTTCACGAACAAAATAAAACTTACTTTCAACACAAAAAATATCAAACAAAGTTTTTTGTACAACTGTCCTGTTTTCATAATAAAATAGATACATTTAATATTTCTATAAAAACACATTTTGACATCTCTTGTGTCCTGCATAATGAAGAACAAACGTGAGGAATTGTGTATCCCTGACGTTTTTGAAGAGTATGCAAAAAGAGCTTCAATTGAATCGTTATCAAAAAAATCAGCTCAGCAGTACGACTTTGCATATTCTAATTTTCTTAGTTGGTGTAGACATCGAAGGAAATTTCAGCGAAACCGTCTTCTCAGCCTATCTATAAGAGAAATCAAAAATATGGAACTCTTCAACTTTATGGAGCAAGTTTTCAATGATGAAGTCGAGGCGCTCGTTGAAAATGGTGTTGATACAAGAAAATATTCCAAGGTATTAGCATTCTTAAAGCAGAAAAATGAAAGTTATAGTTCCAAAAAAGCAAAATGTCTTACGTTTGAACAAGTCCAGAGGTTTATGAATGAGACGCCAGATGAAAAATATTTGATGATTGAAGTTGCTACTACTTTCGGAATATATGGAGCCTGTCGGCGTGAAGAGC